TTTATCATCAGAAGTTACTGAAATTATAACTCGATGAATATATTTATTAAATCTGTGAGTTTAAATCAAACTACATACTTAATATGTTTCGTATACTACGCGACTTTATTTCTGTAAAAAACTACATACTCGCGACGTTTGGTTACTTTTCAGCAACCGTGATCATTAAGACGAGATGTGAATAAATATTAGTTTCATTTAAATGAATAAAACTCTCGAAAATCTTAGATCTTATTAAAACTGTAAGGTTTAAAGCAAGTTAAATTAAATACAGCTCAATAACACAACTACCTTTGAGAGTGGAGTAAGTTGAGTCAGCTTCGTGGTGAGAAAAGTCAGGAGATTATATCTAGCGAGTGTCGTAGTGGAAATATCCGTGATAATTATAAATGATGGTCATCTCTGTAGGTGGATAGTTAGTGTGGAGACATGTTTACATTACACATTGAGTGGTCGAGTGGCTCGGACGTGCGACAACGACTGATGATGAAGAGGAATTAGTGATTAAACAAGGTACTGCTATATTAATAATAATAGATTATTATAAATTCTTACTAATACATATATTTTTTTTATATTAATACCAAATTTACTTAGAATTTTTATAATTATATATATTTTTAACCTGTGTTACGTCAACGTATTTCTATTATAATTTATAAGGAACTGAAGTTTTTTGTCTATTATATCAATCTAATAAAAAGGTCTTATTAGCGTTAAAGGTAGAATATATTTCTAGAAGTTTCAAAGTTCAAACAAATCGGCAAATAATTGGCCAAATGAATGGATTTTTCTATGCGTATGTTTTAGTATAGACATATTTACAGCCTATAGCGTTATGTATACAGATAATATATATACTTAATGAAGTATATATATTATATACAAGGTCTTACTTGTTATATATAATTAAAATTATCGATAACATGATAATTAAATAGTTATAAATATATAGAAGTGAAATGTTATTTTAAAAATATTAATAAATGTACATAATTAATTCAAGTAGTTTTTTTAGCCTTGGAAGGTTTTATGTGTTCTCGAATGTACCTACTGACGTCACTGTTATGTAATTCAGAAGCTTTTGAACCAAAAATCCCCACTTAATTAAGATGTTCGGAATATAGGAAGAACATTTTTAGGGTCTCAAAACGTTGTGAAATAGTTTCAAAGCTTTTAACGGCCTGTCTTTTAAAAGTTTCGGGTGTCGACCGGTTTGTAAGAAACTGATAGTGTAGAACGCACGGACAGACTGATATATTATATATATAATCAAGGTTGTGGTTTAACGATGTAAGATATTTAAAACTCGATTACAACAACACAAAAACAAGTAAAAAACCTATAGTACAACTTTCACCCTGTAAAGATATGTAAAAAAATAATAATAATTTTATACAATTTCTCTTCACGCGAACGAAGACACGTTAAAATGCTAGTATTTTATGACCGGATAAAGTTCAAATAGTGTTTAGTGTTATCACTAAATACATAATAATTAAAATGCAATAAATAATTGTAATGTATGTATATAATACTTATATATTGTGTTGTGTTGTAATAATTATATCTTTGTTGATTACATTGGTTGAGTAATGACTACAAGTCATCTGTGGCTGCATAGAGAATTTCGTCAATAATTTAGGATTTATAAAAAAGTGCCCTGTCGCTGACAGATCCGGGGTATACCGACATAGCGGCCGATGGCTTTCGCAGTGGTTTTAGTGAGTAGGGGCCAGCCCAGGTCGAGTCAAAAAAAAAGAATTATAAAACAAGACAATATATAATCATTATTATATAATTGTATGTATAACCACGACGTTAAACATCTTCCTTATAAAAGACCTTCTGTGGATTTAAATCGTTTAGTTATGACCTTAATTAATAATAATTAAAATATTCAATGGACAAAAAGTAGCGCTTACCGACTAGCGTAAAACATCTCGTGACATTTGAGATGGCGCCGCAAAAACGTAACTGACGGTGTATTTTATACTGTACTGAAATAAGAAGATCATAAAGAACTCTCTAGAATAATGTCATTTATTATGTAGGACAGATATAAAGGAATATTATAATTTTGGTACCTAGTTAGTCCCGTTATGAACACTCCTGATACAGTTCGACGCGACATGTTACTACTTGTTGTGAAGCATTAAATACTGCCTTTGTTGTATGTTTAATATAAGAAACACGTCGACATGACATGCTTAATCTTAGGTTAGCAAGCATTTTAATAACGAGAGTCGTTTATTTTTCAAAATGACAGAAACTGAGTTTCGAAGTGTCAAAGATTCTGTTTAAAGAAGCTTTACAGTTTATCCTATACTGAAATAAAAGAACAATTGGATTTCATAGAGAAAGAGTCTGTCCTCCTATAGTCAGTGAAAGATTGAGTAAAAGAATTTTATTTCGAGAGAGAAATCGGAAGATATTGGCAACGAAGGTCGGCCTTTGGAAATGCTGCCTTCCGAAGCAATTGCTTTTATAAAATAATAGATTCTAAGTGTCAAGAGTAGAGAAATGGCAGCTTTAGCTTGAGCTCTCTAAAAGTACTGTTAATCATGCGATCCATCAACATCTTCGCAGGAAAGAAATCAGTACTAGATTGGTACCAAAACTTCTTTCAGCAGAACAGAAAGAAAAAATTGTGCGCTGCGTTTCGAAGTTTTTGGATGTTTAATGACGAAAATTCAAAGACTGTGATCAAGCGATTAATGAATAGTGAAGAAACTGAGGAAACTATGATCTTGCATTATGATTTACAAAGCAAGCGTGAGTTAATGGAATGTCTTTAAATGAAAAGCAAAGTTGTCACAAATTTATCCGTGTAGTAAACAGAACCGAATGTTAGTAAACAATATCTGTACACATCAATTGTTCAAGTTGTAACTAACCAGTTTAAAAATCGTCCACTGGTTGTCTGGTTCATCTCAGATACATTTCATTAAGGCAATTTCAAACAACTACATATAATAAGTTAGGTTGTTTGAAATCAGGAGACCTTTTCCGAAGTGACAATCGCAGACAGTCAAGAGTCAGAAAATTCTATGATTCAAATCAATTGGACACCTTTAAATACATATTTAATTCACAACCTCTATTATATTTATTTACTAATTACTGTAACAAAATTAAAACAGGATTTTTTAAAATATTTTCAGCAGTATTACCATTTCTCCAAATACGTTTAGATCAAAGACAAAAGACCACAATTTAGGACAAAAACATTCTAGCACTTAATGTAACTGATAGTTTAATAATTGCTGAAGTATAGTATTTTGTAACAAATATTATAACCATATATTTTTTATTATATAATTTTAAAGATACTTAACTGCCACTCTTTCAAAAATAAATATTCACAATTATTTCGTAGTTTGCAAATGAAGTAAGTAGTTGTTATTATATTCTAAAAACATTTTCTTTAAGTTTGACAATCTTTGAACCTTAAATCATATAACAAAGACAGTGAATTGATGTCCCCGGGAACTACGTACTGTCAATTGTTAAAGAATTAAGATCTAAAGTCATATATTTGAGTGCTCTGTAGTACCGTAGTCGATTACGTTGGAACTGTTGTGTTTAGGAATTAAAATTAATAAACTTAAGGTAAAATCTTAATTTACAATTTGTCTTTGTATAAATTTATAAAACTTGTTGCTTTTCAATCAACTTAGACAGCATTAACCAAAAGTATTGTTCCTATATTTCAATAAAATGATTGAGTCGTAATTCCTTGTACAAAAAGGTAATCATAATTTTGGCTCTCAATAATATTGTTATCCAAATTATAAGTTTCAAAATATTATTTAACCTGGACCTACTTACAAGGTATATATTTTTTAACTTTTAGTGACCAATGCCACTTTCTCTTATTATAAAATGTAAAAGTATTCAATAAGCTTTGCGTTGTTATACTTTTATTATTCTTATTTGATTTATTAATATTTTTTAAAATACTAATAACAGTTTTTATATTATAAATAGTACCTATTGTTTGTAGTTTTCGAACGAAAGCATTTTAAGTGACATGAAAAGCAAATGTCAATAAAATGTGATATACCCATAGATAATACACTATATTAGAAATATGATTTTAATAATATGTATATTTAATTGGTGGTCGTATGACACAAATAACAGGATACGGTTTCGAAATAAAATGTAGCCCTTCGTTATATGATAGTTAGTTCATACTATTTTTATATTTAAATTTTAAAGAACTTCGTATTGTTAAAGCAATCGACTTTTTTAAATTAGAAATTTCAGTGTTACATAAATACACTATAAATACTTACTCAACACGAGCGACTGTTTCCTGAACATTATAATGATATTCAATAAAGAATTTCGATCGAATTCATCTTGTATGATAATTCTCACGCTTACAAAAACATGATATTATCTGATTCATTAAAAACTAGTTCTAGACACCTCGTACTGTCGTGATGTTTATTTATAGATGGAAACAATTATAAAAAATGTATGTTATAAAAAATATACTAAAATAAATTTATCGGTGAAATGTAATAACTCTTTGCCTCTACTGTATATTTTTAAGGATCTGTATATTTTAATATAATATAAAACATACCAATAAACTGTTCAAACATAATTGTTTATTTCTTAATTAAAGCTTATTGGTTCTACCTATGTGTTATTACTATTAATCAATTCTTTCTACCATTGAAAATTTTATAATTACACAGTTATTCTATTTTTTACATAGTGAACGATCAACGACGTAATATTTAATTAATTTTTTACTTAAGTAATAGTGTTAGTGAGAGACTAGTAGCGACATCTATGATCTGTGACACGCGACTTCGAGAATAATACATACTACTTTTGTAAGGAGATTCCTAGAAACTATCTAAGATACAATATGATTGGAATGTTTCATAAAATTACATCATGTAGTTTTTGCCTGAAAGAGTATTAAAGAACAGCACGTTCGTAATTTAGCAATTTAATAAGAAATAATAATAATATTTCAGATGGTGTGTAAATTAAAAGAGTTAGCGGTGCAACTGTTCGACGCGGGGGCGCTGCGTCTCGGAGACATAGAGGCCAAGCTGGGCCGGAGGACCCCGATATACTTTGACCTCAGGGTCGTAGTGTCTCATCCTAAGATCGTGGTTGGTCCTACAAGAAACAATCTTTTTCTGATCCATACCAAGTCATAAAAATGAGTTCAATTATACATAGGTATATAGCTAACCAAAAACAATATATTCATTCATCCTCAAAAAATAGTTTTCTTTATTCTCTTCATAAATTTATAAAACCATGAGTAAATGGAAAATTTAAAAATATAAATGTTTAAACCTTCGAAGTCGTTAGAATGTTTGGTTTTAGTTTAAAAATTTAATGATATATTACATGATGTGTATGAAAGAAGTATAAAGGGCGATCCTTATATTAAATAGATTAATAATATTAATATTGTTCTAAGTAGAAGGCGATCTCTCAACAACTGCAAGTCCTGTCATCAGGAGTGCCACACGAGCTGGTTTGCGGAGTGCCATACGCGGCGCTGCCCTTCGCCGCTGTCATGTCCGTCAACACGGATACTCCAATGATCATGAAGAGGAAGGAGACTAAACTGTATGGCACTAAGAAGATACTGGAAGGAGTATTCCAGAAGAATCAAACGTGCCTCGTGGTTGAAGACGTGGTCACGAGCGGTGGTACCTTATTGGAGACGGTCAACACGTTAAGGAGCGAGGGTTTAATCGTGACAGACGCTGTAGTAGTACTAGACCGGGAGCAGGGCGGCGTCGGTGTACTTGAGGCGAGCGGAGTCAGGGTACGGTCTATGTTCACCATGACAGAACTGGTCTCAATGTTGAGAGACGCCGGCAGGATCAGCGAACAAACAGTGGACATAGTATCAGACCACATCAAGGAATGTCAGTTCGGAGTGAAAGATAACTGTGATCCAGTCGATACATGAACTATAATAATGATATTAAAGTTATTTATGTTCGTAACATTCGTTATTTGTAAGATGATTCATGTGAGATTGTAATTCATTCTTTAATAGTAAAAGGTACAAGCATTTTTAAATCTGCTATTTACGTTATCTTTTATTTAAAATTAAAAACATTAACATTAAAGATTGGTGAATGAATTTTATTGTCGTAAGATGTTAATAGATCTTGTATTAACTTTTAATAAACATATTTAATTATCTATATTCAATAGTTTCTCTTTAATCTGTGGTTGAATCATTCTGCATGCGTCTAATAAACCGCCTTTTTGTACTATTGTACCTACCTATGTCAATTCTTTTCTTTATTTTTAACCTAACATTCAGTAATTCTTTTGTCAACACGCTAGGGCCCTACTATATCATATATACCAGTTACCTGAAGCAGGAGACGTTTGTGTTCGAGGTAGTCTGCCTTGATTTCTAAGGTTCAGTTACTTCCAGTAACGTCTTACAAGTAGGCTCAAGTAGTAACAAAATTACATCAGTTCAGTACTACAATTAGTTATTATCAGTCATAGTAACAATACTAGTGTATATGTATTATAATTAGTAATGCAAGGATGGCGTCACTTATAACATTCATCACGACTGATCCATTCTAATAAATATCAAACTAGTTCTTGATTAGCATTTTCTTTTATATTTAACGTGACATGCTCAATCAAAAGTAGCGTCCAACATGGCCGCTATCCATAGTAATTCAACATTTTTCTTTAATACTTAATTCGTTAATTTTAAATAAAGTTGTAAATATTTCTACTTTCATAGAAAAAACTAAAAGAGGTCATTTTTATATTATTTTGTTAATGATGTTTATAACAAGTTGTTAGTTTATCGTGAGTGTAGGTGTATAAATGAAAGACCATATCATAAAATCATAGTTATTTATAATTCACCAGCTGGAATATAATAATTAAAAACTTTGATCGACTCCAAAAATTGTACGAACATAATTATTAGCTGTATAGACGTGTTTAGGACTCCAGACCCTCCGTCCGTCTCCGCCTCGACCTGGTCTGGTCTGGATTCATAAAGTGATCTATAAACGCCAAAAAGCCAACGTAAACACACCGGTTACAAACATTAAAAATTAACTTAGGATTTAAAAAACAAAATCAAGTTCAGCCTTATCAAACAAAAGATGTTCTTTTGTGTCTCCAGCGAGTTCACAGCACCGCAGAGTGTGACCGAAGGGGAGCGTCCTGAGGGAGCAACTGTTTATAATGAGATAAACATTCCAGAGAGCGCCCTTCGTCAAAACCGGGAATGTAAATAACGAAACGGAACGGGGGCAGGGGGTAGGGGCAGGGAGAGACTTGTATAAAACTACAGAAGCGAATGCGTCAAGTGACTGCGAGGACAGGGGAGTGAGGGGAGACAGCTGGAGGAGTCTAGTTCTCCTCGATCTCCTGCTCCTGCTCCTCGTCGAACTCCGCGTCCTCGTCCGCGGTGGCCTCCTGGTACTGCTGGTACTCGGACACCAGGTCGTTCATGTTGCTCTCCGCCTCCGTGAACTCCATCTCGTCCATGCCCTCGCCCGTGTACCAGTGGAGGAAAGCCTTGCGTCTGAACATGGCCGTGAACTGCTCCGAGATGCGCTTGAACAGCTCCTGGATGGCCGTGGAGTTGCCGATGAAGGTGGCGGCCATCTTGAGGCCGCGGGGCGGGATGTCGCACACGGCGGTCTTCACGTTGTTGGGGATCCATTCCACGAAGTACGACGAGTTCTTGTTCTGGATGTTGAGCATCTGCTCGTCCACCTCCTTCATGGACATGCGGCCACGGAAGATGGCGGCCACGGTGAGGTAGCGGCCGTGGCGAGGGTCACAGGCTGCCATCATGTTCTTGGCGTCGAACATCTGTTGGGTCAGCTCGGGGACGGTCAGGGCGCGGTACTGCTGGCTGCCGCGAGATGTGAGGGGGGCGAAGCCCGGCATGAAGAAGTGGAGACGAGGGAAGGGGACCATGTTGACGGCTAACTTGCGGAGATCAGCGTTCAGCTGTCCGGGGAACCTGAGGCAGGTAGTGACTCCGGACATGGTGAGCGACACCAGGTGGTTGAGGTCGCCGTACGTGGGTGTGGACAGTTTCAGCGTGCGGAAGCAGATGTCATAAAGAGCCTCGTTGTCGATACAGTAGGTCTCATCGGTATTTTCTACTAACTGATGTACTGAAAGGGTGGCGTTGTAAGGTTCTACGACGGTGTCTGATACTTTAGGGGAAGGTACTACGGAGTATGTGTTCATGATTCTGTCGGGGTATTCTTCTCTGATCTTGGAGATGAGTAACGTGCCCATACCGGACCCGGTACCGCCTCCCAGTGAGTGTGTCAGTTGGAAACCTTGAAGACAGTCGCACGACTCTGCCTCTTTACGCACGACGTCTAAAACTGAATCGACGAGTTCAGCTCCCTCTGTGTAGTGACCCTTGGCCCAGTTGTTGCCGGCTCCGGACTGTCCGAACACGAAGTTGTCCGGACGGAAGATCTGTCCGAAAGGTCCAGAGCGGACAGAGTCCATGGTGCCGGGCTCCAGGTCCACCAGGATGGCGCGGGGGACGTATTTGCCACCGGAGGCCTCATTGTAGTACACATTGATGCGCTCCAGCTGCAAGTCGGAGTCTCCATGGTAGGCACCAGTGGGGTCGATGCCGTGCTCGTCGGAGATGATCTCCCAGAACTATAAAACAGGAGGAAATATATGAATGACACGTAACTAATACAGACAGGTAGTCCCTATAGACGTCCAACATACATTTCAAAGTACCGTTAAGCGGTATGAGTCACCGGCGGTAGTCAGGGTAACAGGACTCGTAACAAACCCTCGCGTGGGTTCTGTAATATTAATGAGGCCGCCCCGCTCCATCGATCCACACTACACATATAATTTCGTTCCCTCATAACCATTTATATTCTTACATAATCTCTTATCGTTTATGGGCACAATACAATAAATTTTAAGAGCTCTTGTGGGCGTCATTGTATGTATATTTCCTTTACGAGAGTTTTGCTTATCTATAAATCGATTGAAACGACATACAGTACATTATCCATATACAAGATACGCGATATAATATAATGAAATACTAACTAATGTCGTAAAAGATGATTTCTTATTTAGAAAGCCGTCTTACTGTGCTAAAGTTAGAGTGAAATGTATTCTCAAAAGTGGAATACTTAGATGTTAAGAGTCATCTTGAAGACGACGCGACGTTATAATATAAAATGAGATTCATTTGATGTATAATGTACACTTGTATGATGAATCACGGCACAGACGATCAGAACTCAGTTTTGGTACGTTGACGCATTCAAGTTACAGACGATGAATTCATAACGATTCATTAATTATATATTAAAACTGAATTTATTAGATGCTATATACATGTAGATGTTTAAGATTCAATGCTCCTATAACTAACTATTCCTGTACAAGTAATATGTTCGAGCCCACAACTTAAGACAAGTCCTCCCACGTCAGCCTACGTTCTCGCAAATAATTCAGAACACGAAATTTATAGCCTTGATATTATTTAAATGCAGTAACTTTTTTACATTTACTTAAACGTTCACTTAAATTAATTTTATGTGATAACTGTAGCCTTACAGGCAAATTGAAAATATCAAATTTTATATCTTGTTTAAAGTCCATAAATTCGGAAGTCATTTCACATAAAAGAGTCATGTCATCTACTAATTCCGATTTATTTGGCTTCGTTCCAGAATACTTTATTCACGAGTGCATTGGGATTAAATATTCTCTAATTTAGGATAACCTTTTCCTTAAACATTATTAGTAGGTGTTATAATCCCAGTCTAGACATTACTCAAGCTAGTTTTCTGCGTCTTAACAGATTAATGTCAGCTTAATGTATAATCTATATAAGTGGTTTAAAAAATCGATGAGCTTTCCCCTTAATTTCTAGTAACGTATCATAAAACGATCTCTCTGAAGCAACGTTCTCTTTTGATGTTAACTGAACATAGTGTACAGGAATAGTTCAGTCAGTTTTACTATGTGTTACAAAATTGGAGCTTTTTCATAACGGACATGCTTATTTTAGCCAGCACGGAAGAAAAGCGGTCAACGAACTCAACATGCGCACTCTACTATGTATGATAATCGACTTTTTATCGAATCTACGGACCCGTGGTACAAATAACACTGATTATATCTTTGTTTTAAATTTTATTAAATCACAACACGCTATACGTTACTTTTTATTAAAAAACTAATTAAAGGTAATTTTACATTTTCATTACTGAACTCATTCGTCTAATAAATTAGTATTTTTTGTGTTGTATTTAGTCCGCATATGGCGAGCGTTTATAACGATCATCGCTTACGTTTTTTTGAATTTCAAACGCTAACAAAAGAACGCTGTTTGATTGGACGCCCTTTATCAACAGACGCTCAACCTTGAGGGTCCCGGCTTGTATACCCTAGTAACGGTTTTTAACGGTAGCAATAACTGACATTACACAGGGAATAATAATGATACGTACCTACAACAATCAATACCACTATAGTAATAAAAAGTGTGACGTCACGAGTTCTAAATATGATTTTTAAACATCGAGAGACGCCACTAGCTACCGGCGAATGGCGCTCCAACACGTGGACAAACGACGGACAATGGATTTCTATCAGACCACCTCCATCTTTAAATTTTTATGAGAATAAAATTATATACATATCATACCTAGTTTAGACGACGGACTCGGGCATGCGCAACTTAAGGTAAAACCAGCCACACCCATCGATAAGGAGTTAAACTGTATATTGCCTTAAATTCTAGCTATATACTTGCCGGACTGAATAAACAATGACTGTCGGCTAACCGGCGACTTGTTTCCCCGTGGCTACGAGGCGTCACAAAATGCCGGCCGCATTCTCAGACGATAATTCACTAGTAAAAATAGTATTAAAAGAATATTACCTTAGCACCGATCTGGTTTCCGC